AGACACCGAGTTGCTTTCCCTTATTTTTGAATTTTTGAATGGCCGGACAACAATCGTCCCTAGAAAATTTGCAAGGAGCCTGCCATCATTCTGCTTGCGTAGTAGTGTTCTCTATAAGAACTTTTCTCCCAGAGGAAGCACCCACCTACTTGTCATTCCGACGTCATTCCGTGAGGAGATACCTTGTGCTTGCCACGATGAGCCAATGTCTGGTCATCTCGGATACGCACACACATTGGCCAGAATCCAACAGAAATACTACTGGCCAAAACTTCCAGCTATTGTGAAGCATTACGTGCGCACGTGCCTCGATTGCCAACGACGAAAATCGCCACCGTTAAAACCAGCTGGACTATTACAACCAATTCAAGTGCCCACGGCACCTTTTGCCCAAATTGGAATGGATCTCCTAGGACCATATCCGACTTCCTATGCTGGTAACAAGTGGGTAATAGTCGCCACTGATTATCTTACGCGCTATGCGGAAACAAAGGCTTTGTCAAGTGGCACCGCTATTGAAACTGCACGATTCTTCGTAGAAAATATCGTCCTGAGGCACGGTGCTCCGACAGTCATAATAACGAAGCGAGGTGCCGCTTTCACGGCCGCGCTCCTGAAGACAGTGCTTGAGCTCAGTGGAACAGCCCATCGGAAAACCACTTCCTATCATCCACAAACCAACGGCTTAACAGAACGCCTCAACAAGACTATTGCCGACATGTTGAGTATGTACGTTGACGGGGATCACAAGAACTGGGATGACATTCTACCGTACATCGCGTTCGCCTATAATACAGCGCAGCAAGAAACTACACAAAGAACGACGTTTAGTCTCCTTCATGGCCGTGAAGTGACGGCGATTCTTGACGCCATTTTACTGCACGACTGCAATGACATCGATTTGGACGCTGCATCTTTTACCCAACGAGCAGAAGAAGCCAGGCAGCTTGCACGTGTCCGAATCGCCCAGCAGCAAAATTACGACGCCCAACATTATAATCTGCGACTTTGACATGTCGTCTATTGGCCCGGCGGCAAAGTCTGGGTATGGTGTCCTATCCGCTGCCGGGGACTGTCTGAAAAATTGCTGAAGAGATATTTTGCCCCCTACACAGTTTTACAACGCCTGAGCGACGTTAATTACGTGGTCGTTCGTGACAGCCCCTCGACAACTCGCCAGCGAAAACCGGAAATCGTGCATGTTGTGCGAATGAATCCCTATTTTTCGGACTGATTTACACCATATATCTATTACACCGTCTTTTGTGTAGAAGAGCATCGGGACGCTGCTCTCGAGAGGGGGGCAAATGCCACATTGAATATGCAGGACCAAGAGAACAACGAAGAACACGCGCAGCAAAAGAAAGAAGACGAGGTTCTCTTCTCATCAGTTTGCCAGTGTTCTGGTACAATTAAAGCGAGTTTCCTGTATTCACCTGCTGCTGTTCCTGCATTGTGACAGTATTAACCCGATTGCTTTCCCGACATCAAGCCTGCCTAAGGCAAGTTTGACAAAAAGTCACAAGCACCGGAGTAGCTCAGTGGTAGAATACTGGGCTGGCACCCAGCGAACCCGGGTTCGAGCCCCATGTGTCATTGGTGCAAGGTTTTTTTTTTTTCTAATTTCGCTCGATGTGGTTACGAACTCTGGCGGCGTAGCGGACTACAACAACTGCACATGATCCGAAAAGTGATCTCATAACAGTTTCTGCTGTAAAAATTCTGCTGCTCCGTAACTGCCGTACAGCTCCATAATTGCCTCAGCCAGTCACATCACTGCTCTTTTGCAATGGTATGTTGCAGTAGCCACTTCTAAGTGGTTTTAAGTATTGCTCACTAGATGGCAATGTGTGTATATGTCCTTTGACGTAATTTCACTAGATGGCGTTAGTGGTTTTCGTATAGTTGACAATTGAAGAGGATAGATGGCACTGTTATAAGAAGTTCACAGCACCTCCACGGAGTGAATGTTGATAACTGAGACAAAGTGTCCGTCTGTCTGTACGTATGCTCACTTTCCTGATGGTGCTGCAGTGCTCCCTCCACTCCAATGTGTGCTGTAGTGTGATAGGAGTGGACGGACGATCAGACACACTGACAGAGAGAGACGAACGGGCTGACGCTTTGCACGACTCATCATTATTCACTCTGCGGATATGCTGTGAATTTTTTTTTCTCATTGGGTGAGTGTGTTTGCTTGAACTTGGGGCCGGCAGTCGGGACAGTACCGTCGATCTTGCCTAGGATAACATTTTACAGAGAGTCTTCCATGCAAACAGTGACAGCAACTCCTTTATAAAAAAAATCTGAGAATCGATAAATACTTTGGTTTCCGGCCACTTTTTTCAGACCATTCCAGTAGGCGCATGACACGGTGATTACCAGTCAGCTTGGAGCCTGAAAAGAGGGACTGTTTCTCTACAACCATACTGCGGCTAGAATCGCGGAGAACAGTCACCATGTTCTCTTCAAGATGACCCGTCGTCACAGCGTTTTTTTCAATTCTCCACAGAACTTTGTATAGCTCTGGGCGACGTGAAGCATACCTTGCATGCACTTTGCTGGGCAGACTTCTGTTTTTTTCTGTTCACTCTACGCTTCGCGATGTCTTAGAAGAGTGCATGAAGCTTTATGTCTGCCAGAGCCAGTAGGACACTTGTCGGCACTGCGACTTGACTTTTTGCATTTCCAACATGAGGAGGACTTCTGTGCCCGCATTCTGGTCCAGCAATAGGAAGCTTTATGTCCCGGCTTGCTGCAAACAAACCAATGAGGTTGTTCCTTGCTTTCTGTCATTGTAGCTCATTTTTAATGACCAAGTGACTTTACCTTTTTCTTCTATGTCTTTCTTGCCTTTAGCAAAATTACTGATGCTTTGTGCTTCCAAATACTGGTCGGCTGTTGTTGCCAGGTTGTCTAGGTTACGACATCTTTTTTCCTTCAGAAAGATCACCAGGTCTTCCTTGCAGCAGCGTAGAAACTACTCGGACATGATCTTGCATTGCATCGCTTCACACGTCTTCACTGTCTTGCCTAACTTTTGTCAATAGTCAGAGTAGCCTGGAAGACGACTGGCAAACTGTCGAGTTGTCTTAGCGTTTTAAAGCTTGGCATTCCAAAACTTTACATGGTACCCTTCTTACCCTTCTTAGATCTAGTGGAACCGCTGCAGTAGAGTCTGCTAGAACTTAGCATAGTCAGTAGCGTCTTCTGCAGGACATCCGACGGACTACCTTTAGTGCTTTGCCCTTCAAACACAGACTTAATGACAAAGCTCACTTGTCTTGTGGCCAACTTTGACGAGACGCTACTCTCTCATACCTTTGTATGTAGCGTCTAGCTCATTCTTGTCCCCATCAAAGGGCGGAATCATTTTGTGGGGACTGGAGAAACTGACCACCTTCTGTTTCGCTACCTACGGTTCTCAGACTCGGAACGCTATGCCTCTAAGACACACCTTTGGTCTTCCAAGAGTACTCGCTCTGCCTCCATACATGCTAATTCTATCGCATGTTCCTCCTGTGTCGTTACCTTGGCTTCTTCTCGTTCTTTAGCTCGATGTCTCTCTGTTCTGCGCTAACCCATACGAACAATGCCTTTCTACTGAGTCCCATCTCCTTTGCTAGCTCAGCAAGCATTCTCTTTTCTTTCATTGTCTTCCATTACGCACAAGCAACACGAGTTTTTACAATGTACGGAATAGCTTAGTCTCACCTCGCGACGCCATAAAAAAATTGTAATGGCAGGGGTGGTGCGTCACATTTGTGTGTGCGTGGCTAACGAAATTAAAGACAAGAGATTACGAGCAGCAGGTAACATTTATCAAGACAAGGGACTCCATGCACCATATAAAAAACAAGCACATAAACGCACTTAACCTAAACTGGAAGTCTTAAGAACAACGGAATGTTTGGTCTAGGGAAAACAACTGTGATATCATGGTCTTCTAGGGAGCGTCGTCTTCAGGAGGCGATAGTCCACGTGTGGTGTCGACCCTTTCGAAAGCGAGCCCAGGCACGCAGGGGGCACGCAACCCGCGTCAATCTCGGCACAAAAATAAGGCCTCTGTGTAGTCTCGGTATGAAGACAAGGCCTCCGTAAGCCCTTGTTTATGAACAAAGCTTTGCGCTGTCCCGCGTGGCGGCGGCGATCATGAACCGGTTGTCCCTCTCTTGTATGCTGGCACAGTAGGAGCCACGTCCAGTACCTGTAACACCATGCAGGTACCTTGCCTGCTGGGCTTCGATCGCGAGAAATAGACAGGAGGAGCTTCACAGACAGCACCCTGCTCTGGCCTGTCCTTATAGCTCGAGCCATCGCCAATGTCAGGACAATAAGGCAAGTCCCAGGTCCTCACCAAGCATGGCCAAAAGAACCTCCAACGACAGCACCCTGGTCTGACGTGTCCTATGGCTATCTTTAGCTCAGCCCTCTACGCGTTCGACGTGCGCTTCTCTTTTATGTCCTTTTTTCTTCTTGCTGCTTAGTCCCGTGCTGCCGCCGCACATGCCACCTTCTGCTGGCTCGCCTTTTTGTTGTCATCCTCCTCCTCCTATATCTTCACAAACATTTCAAAATACACCCTAAAATTCACACATATGAGTTTTCTTTACAAATTTCGTCTATTCACTACACCCAGGTAGTACTCAACACAAAGAACCAAGAGAATGCACTTTTCCCGCTTGAGACTAGCCTTTTTATACGTTCCAGGATGTTGCTCAGATACTGCGCATAGTCTTCGTTGTCTCTACCGGTAACCAGGATGTCGTCCAAATACAGTGCATGACCAGGATGTCGTCCGGGTCATCCAGCATACTTGGACCTGGGTATCATGGTCCTGGTCCATTCATAGGTCCATCCTGATCTTCATGCTTTTGAAGAGGTTGTCCATCTTTCTGAACGATGGCTGGTGCTGAGGCCACTGCAAACAGTAAATGATTGTATTGGAAAAACGTCATAGTCGTTGATATTGGGACATATTTGTGTGAGGCCTCTTGGAGAACCAGCGGTTAGTAAGCGTCCCTGAGGACGAGCTGCCCGAACTTGTGTCCACCAGACAGTGCTGGCCAGAGATCTTGAATCCGAGGCAGTGGGCACTTCTGAATGGTAGGGACGCGTTTTATTATAACCCGGAAGTCCCTGCATATTTTGATCCTACTATGGCGTTTCATGAATGGCACAAAGATGCCTTCTCGCTGCAACCCTTGCTGCTCCTGTGTGACCCCGTCCTTCACAGCGAACAATAGTGGTTGAGGCTTGAAAAATTGAGGCCAGATTTTTTCTGGTACACGAATGCCAATTGTATCAGCAAATATGCCCACCCCTGGCTGGAACAGCTGCTGAAAATTTGTTAGAAAGCCCGGGATGTCTTGTATGACATGTGGGGCTGCTTCCTGGCATTTGAAAATCCAGTGCAGCAAATCCAACTTTGGCCGAGCAGTGTCGGTGACAACCCCTTGGTTAATAGAGGGAAACGGTAGCTTCCTTGTTGCCAAAATGAACACTTACCTGAGCCTTAGCCTGGACCTGTGAAAGCTCTTCAGCGTAGCTATGCAGCATGACGACAGGAGCCTCGAGGGCCACTTTGTGGAAGATATTTTGAACGGTTTCCCTGCCATGACCAACACACTGGCCCCCTTGTCCAGTTTCATGAAAATGGGGCGCTTGCACACGTTGACAATCAGCATGTACAATGGCACAGAGAAAGGGACGCCTCTGTGCCGCATGCAGAAAATCGGCGAGTCCTTGTCGATGACATTGAGCTTGTTGCCGCATGTGCCTGCCACCACTTGTGACGCCTACCCTGTCTGCGGGCTTGTGTATGCAGAGCTTGAGTATGCCGAGCTTTTCTACTCGGCATACTCGTGCAAGGTGCCCAGTTTTTTCTCATGTGAAGCACTGCAAATGGGAGAACTGACACTAAAGGAAAGTGGGCCTCACTGCAGTAATTGCAGATACCGCCCCTTGTTACCATCTTGTTGACCACTGCTTTTGTTGATTCTGCTGATGCCGTATGTACAATGTCGCCGGCATCCTTTGTAGTCAGCGCTGCTTTCACTACATTGTTGAGCGAGAACTTGGGAAATTCCTGGAGAAATGTCTGCATGGTAGGGTTGTTTATGCCACAGACGAAATTGTCCAGGAGCAACGAGTTGAGCTGGTCCCAGAAAGCACCGCAGGTACTCACCAAACCTTGTAGCGCAGTGATGAACTGTCTGAGGCTCTCTCCTTTCAGGCGGCTCAAATTGTTAAAGTGGAAACGTTCTATCAGTGTGGATGACACCGCACTGAAGTGCGAGTGCAGTGTAGTAAGCAGCTTGCTCAACCTCTTGGTATACAGTGTAGCTGGTTTTAGGAGGTTGAGCAGGAGACTGAATACTTGGGTTCCGCAGCTAGCCAGCAAATCGTTGAGCTGTTTCTCCTCAGGCATGTTGTTTCCGTGGAAAAACACATGGACTGGCTCCTTGTAGATTGGCCAGGTGGAGCCTTCACCCTCGAATAGCTTGAGCCTTCTGTACAGCGGCATGGACAGCAGATGTGAGGGGCAGTGTTGCATGGCTCTCGACGGCATGGGTCGACTTGTTGATTGTACTCATCTTCATTGCCAGTGTCATGATCTGTCCCGGGACTGCTGACGAAGCGGGGCTGAGGCACTCACTCGGGAGAGTGACGCAACAGCATAGCAGGGAAAAGTACTGCCTGCAAGCTGTGCTCATCAGCGTTTATTATTGACCCGTGACCAAGGTTGCCTGCTGAACCTAGCGAGGTAATGGAAGTAGGCTAGAAATGGCGCTGCATGCTCATAACACTGAGGAACTTAAGAACATCAGTTTTTTCTTTGACAACACAATCGATAGTGTTCTGACACATTTTGCCCTTTTGATGACCATGATTTTCGCTTCTATGATTTCCTGGAGTGCACTAATCTTTGTGTCAGCTGATTAGGCTACAGTTTGAAAGAGACAGGTGAGCAACCACAATCATTACACTCTGTAGTTCAAACCAAGAAAACACGAAACTACTAGCCAATGCGTTTTCTCTGCCACCATCTGCCTAAATAGAGTACCCAAATCGGCACGAAGTAGCCAAATCTGGCAACACTGTCTACGGGTCCAAAAATTTGAAACTGTTCCAAGAGGTACCTTGTGATTCATGACCGCATCAAATTTTTGCCCCACAGTTACTGGTGAAAGTGTTCATCACAGAAGAAAACACAAAATCGTCTTAATTTATTAGAAAGGCTTCTGATAGTGCATATAACAGGCCAGTTATACAAAACCATAAAAACAAGAACGCTTGGCAATATACCGTGAAATGCTCAGCAAGCGATCCCCCCCCCCCCCCCCCAAACGAGGTCGAAATCGCCGGCAAAGTGAGGGGGGAGGGGGCACTATCTTGGAACAGCACCAAAATTCAAGACAGCGGCAACATTATCACACCAGAAAAAAAAAAGCAGTGCACATGGATTAAAATTTTATTATTTATTACACAACTTTATTTAGGCGCAGGATTTGTTGTAGATTTTGATCACTTTCAAAACCATCGAAAGACTCCTTTGAGTCAGTTGTGAAAAGCAGGTCGCAGCGTTCCGCTTGAAGCCTGTCACAGCCTTCTGGCACCACAGCTTCAATATTGGCCAGTCCACTGTGCAGGTCGCAAAAGTGCATCGCCACGTGTTGGCTGAACAGTGGTGCGCCGTTACTGAGCTTCCATTCCAGTTTTGCCTTCCTTTAGTTAGTTGCAACAAATTATCGAAATTCTTCTCCCATTGCAGTATCTGCTTCCAGTCGAGCTTGAAATGTCGAGATGTCTGGTGCACACTCTTTCTGTTTTCTCAATGCCATCGAATAACCTCGATTTTCTTTGCCACTGTAGAGGACTGCATAGGCATAAATGACCTCTCGCTGCAAACGCAAAGCAACAAATGGCTTGGAGCCTGCACGGACCAGTCGGGCTACATTGCAAAGCTGGATTGAATTGGATTTTTGCGGAGTGGATTGAAAGGGGGGCGAGGGGCACTTTCCTGGTACAGGTGCAGATATTTGAAATTGCCAGTGAATTGGGGGGAGAGGGCTTTGGGGGGGGGGCTTGGGGGGGTGCGAGCTTGAAAATTTTTAGGTAGTAGTCATGTCCAGACATGCAATGCTGAGATGTCAGACTTGTCCTACATGTCCTAGCTACCTTTCATTCAATGCTTGCAAAGGGATTTGAGTGCCTCTGTAACTTTCTTTCATCTGTGTTTACGTAGCACATTAATACAATCAAATCTGAAACTCAGGTAAATCGAATTATCCTTCATGTTGAACTATTTTTGTGAACAAGGCAACGTTATTGTATAGTCGAATTTCATTAATTCGAACACGCTTAATTTGAACTCACGATGAGGTCCCGTCAAAGCCATGTGTATTCAATGGGCGAAAACGCCCAGGTAATTCGAACGCGCAAGCACTTGCTGCGGTTAATTCGAACATACCGCGCTGTGAAAATGCTCTCAGCACTTGCCCGATCCCGCGGCGGCACCTGCAACACCTCAACGCTGCGTGCGAAGGAACTGAAATGGAAAAAAAAAAGGCTGCGGTGGAATATTTGCTCTCTCTCAAATGCCGATCTGCGACGCGCCCGTGTTACGCTTCTTCCTTTACCGTCTCTGCCACATAAAGACCCATCTCCTTCCAATGCCGCGATCGAAGAAAGAGGGAAAAAAAAAAAATAGAATGCTGTCGCTGGGTTGAAGTGAATGTGTGATTGAAGGAAAGGAAAAAGGCATCATCTTCTGCAGCCCTTGCCCTTTGCGGGGGCACTGCTCTGCGCCTTGAGGGGTAGGTCTCTCAAGCAGGTCTCCCTGCCACATAACTCTTCTCTTTTCAACGATGCGCGCAAAGAAAGCAAAAAAAAAGCTGACGTAGAGTGTTGGTTCATCTCAAGTGCCGATCTGATTCTCTTCGCGTGGAGACGCTCCTTCCTTCTCGTCACGTGCTGGCCACGCTGTGCCTGCATAGCTAAGCAGTAGTTATTAGTCGTTTTTAGAAAGTGTCTGCACTGGACATTTCCATGTGCAACTTCTCTTGCCAGGAGAATGCTGAAGCCAAAGTAGAAATGCTTTGCAAGCTGCGTGTGAAATTGATTGACTAGCTGGAAGGCAAACGTGTGCAAACGTGCATCACCGATTACTTCAATTAATAACGGGTGTCCTGTGATTTGTGAATAAACATGTCTTCTGAAACTTTCCCTTCGTGTGTTAGCTCAATGCACATGCACCACTGCATGGAGAGCCCTCCGTTATCTAGCTTCCGTTAATTCGAACTTCTTTTAGTTCGAACAAATTTTCGGGCCCCTTCGAGTACGAATTATCGAGATTCGACTGTGTAAGGAAACTCATGGCTACGTTGAAAAAAATCACAGCATATCCGCAAAGTGAATGATGATGAGTGGGCAGAGCAGTGGGATCGCTCGGTGTTACCATAAATCACCCGTGACAATGACCACTCGTGCATGTAAATTAGTGCTAAGAGGTGTACAGTTATATAAAATTTTTCTTGGTTATAGCTGGTCTGTTGTGTTGAGTTGTGAATTTCATTTTGCCTTCATTACTACTGCTTTGTGGTATCAAATCTAGCCTGAAGTTTGTAAAGGTAATGTCTGGGCATGTTTCCCTAGTGTTTGTTGGTTGTTTCCAGTCATACGAAATGCATTGTAGTGCATATCGAGACGTCATATACTGCAGCGGCCAGTCATTGTCCGTGATCATTATCGACATCATTCTCATCGTTATGGCGCATAGTGGGTACCTTGCATGTACTGTGCCGTGATGGCATAAAGAAAGAGAATGTGTGGTCTGGAAGGCGCTTGTTCTTCATCGTCATCGTCAGAGTCAGTGGTGGCTGTGGTGCACGACGCCAACGCCACTAGACAAGCCTTAACCATAAGGAGCTTCACCCCTAAAACAACCAGAACATGATATATTAGGACATCGGACAGTGTGAAGCACCCCATGAAGTTGGCTTTTTCTCAAGGGGGGGGGGGGGGGGGGTATTTTCCTATTTTCCGGCATGCATTTTGGACATGAGTGACCGATGTGATCAGGGCACTGTGCAGGTGGAGTAGAGAATATCGCTTGCCATCCTGTGTTCGCTCGTATAAACTCTTGTCATGGCCATTGTGCAGGGTCACTGCTTGCTTCTGATCTGCCTTGTTAACCGAACAGCTGCTGCAAAACGAAATCACTCGGCTGTTTCCCTTATCGCTAGCAATAATCTACTCAGTCGAATGTAAAAAAGACAAGCCTAACATCGTTGCTGTGTATAATGACCAAAGCAGCATGCTGGGTACGATTTTGAAAAACAATGCCAATATTAGCTATCTATTTATTAAAATGTTTTGTTGGGCTAGTTGGTGCATACTTACTGAAGTGCAAAAAGACGCGTATCATAATGGAAGAAAAATTAAGAACGAAACAGAAGGGGCGTCCACTCGCAACCTAACTTTATTCTCAGAAGATCGCAAACATATAGGGATTTGAGGAGCATGGTTGCTACGGCTATAGTATAGGTTGCTGATGTTCTGAGAACAAAGCTAGTTGCCCTGAGCTCTTGACTACAAATCCAATTTTACTTTGTAATACCCTTTTTGTGTTTCAATTCTTCATGAGTGTACTTGTGTTGTGCATGAGTGTACTCAGTACCTGTGAACTTGTCGATGCGATATGTAGGAAATCTGCTTGTAACATTCCTTGAAATCTCTTTTTCAATAATTGGCATGAAAGCAAAATAAAGGGCAGCCAGATAAACAATATCTATTTGCTCATTTCTGTAATTCCTTTTGCACTCAAAATGACTGCAGTGGTGGGAAACATGCGCCAATTGTGCCTACCTGCACCAACTGGAAATTACTGCGTCATACTGCTCCAAAAGGGTCTTTTTTTGTCAGGTTGGTGCTGTTGCTGTGTCGCAAGGGGGTTTTGGAACCGAAAGTAATATTGACAGCACTCATATGAGCGGATATTACGTGATAGCCGCCATCTCGTACGCTTGGGCTGCTGCATTTGCGCACAGTCGCGCAACTGCAAAACCACGGAATCGGCTGATCAACTTCCACGTGATTGTGGCGGTGCTTTTTCTGGTAACCACTGGTAAAAAGAAAAGGCGATGTGGTTACCACTGAAAAGTGCATCAGCATGACATGGCTAATAATAACCCTACGTGTGTGACTTGGTGCCGCTTTAAGCTTACTGCACGCTTTTAATAGCTGGTGTCTAACTTAGTGCACAGGGGTGGCTATCTCTGTGCCTCGATCGTTGTACGGGACTGTGTTCAGCGTGCACCGCATTGCAGAAACGAAAGTAGCTCGCTGTTTCAGAGTTGAGCTTTGTAGGTCGCGGGCACCGAGATGGCAAGTGGAGTGTTCTTGTTGCGCCTCAGTCCACTGACAGGATCGCTACAGCATTGCTTTCACAGATCTCGCATCATCGCGTTAGCGTAATACCTTTTTTGCCACATCTGTGCATGGTCTGAAGTGGAGTAGGCGCCAGAGGCTTGGTATGGTGTGTACGCTAAGTAGGGGAAGCGCCGCATGCAACCAGCCAGTAGACGATGGGCTCTCTGCGATTGTACTGCGCCTCAAAAAAGCTGGGTCTGTTTTTGCTAAGTAGCAGGTCGTGGTACACATTTATCGTGGAAAGCCGCTTATGCCCGTTTCGTCGCTATGTCAGTGGGTGCATTGGCTGCGTATCGCGGAATCCGCGGTAGTTTCGAAATGCTTCTTGATGTTGCCGCCGCATGCCATCGGACGGCCTGCAGGAGTGCCAATAATTTCTGAAATTCGGCTAATAAAAGAAATGACTTTGTGGTGGGCATTTTAGGCAATATCTACTGTGGCACTCTATTTATTCCTTTTTGAACGGTTATGGCTCAAGTAAGGAGGTGAAAACCTCCTTATGTGCGTTTTTCTCACATTTCACTGTGACCTAAAAAAAAGCCTAATGTGTAACTCTTCGGTGAAATAAGCTTCAAAACTGGTACTAGGCGGTTAATGCATACTACGTTTAGTGCGCAGTTAGCTACGTTCATGGTGTTTACGTACGTATTAACACGGTTTTCCTGTACCAAGCTTTGAATGTGTGTGTGTGTGTGTGGGTGTGTGCGTGTGTGTGTCTGTATGTGTGTGTGTGAGAGAGAGAGAGAGGGGGGGGGGCATTCTCAGGGTTCCCCTTCGAGGCGGAGGGGGAGTGAATGTTCATCGCGGTGCCCCTTCTCTATCATGTCAGTGTGTGGAGCTGGCTTCGCGCTTCCCCCCCCCCGGCCCCTGCCTCCCCGTGCACACGCTTATGTGAGTGCTAGAACTTTATGCTGCTGTTAGCTTAATTCTGGGTGCAATATTCTTCACTGTTTTGTGTCACTGCTTTTGTATATCTGTTTTTGGTTATTTTTGTGCGTATGTTGTTGGCTTGCTGCTCCTGTATAAATGATTATGTAGAATGAGGAACATTAAATTAAATCTAAATTTTCTTCCTCAGGTGTGTATGATGAAAAGCCCAGTGCATGCTCCAAATACGGAGGTAGCTGCTCCAAAGGCAGATTTTGCCTGCTCTAATAGGCTGCTCCATAATGCTGGAAGGCATTCCCACTACTGTGATGGGCAACTGAAGATGGCTGGGTGATCATGGCACGGGATGTTCTCAACATGCTGTTACTGCCCCAAGTGGTGGGGATTTGAGGAGTTTCGTTGAAGGCGTACCATTGTCCATTCTGACAAGCCTGCAGAGTGCATGTGTAGTCAGTTTGTGCCAGGCTAGTCCCTTGTGTTGCAGGACCAGCTGCTAGTTTTGTGATGACTGTGACCGTGGCTACCATATGTACTGCTTGCAGCCACCCTTGTCTGAGCCGCCCGAAGGTGAGTGACCCTGAGTCATTATATATATCTCATGAAATCGAGAGAAAGATTAGAGCAGTGTGTCTACGGACAGTGGCCTTTATGAAGACAGTTTAACGTCTCACTTAACCTCTCTCTATCCTCCACATTATGGACAGTTTACACACATTACATCTGTGGAAGCTTCAAAACTTTTCTGCTGGCAGGGTGCTTGCGAAGGGACATGCTTTTGATGCGCATGCTGGTTCTCTACAAGGCTTGCCCATTGGTAATACTCAAGATTAGGGGGTCACCGGAGAAATGAAACAAGACTAGATTGGACAAGAACATTAGCCTTTAAAATAAATTAAAATAAATTGGGCAACAAGTTCACTATACACAATGAATATGCCATGGGTGTTCAAATGAGCAGTACTAAATGACACTGAGTAGAAATGAAGACTTTATTCAAAGTATGCACCATAGTCCTGAGCACGATTCCATTGATGAACAAGCTAAGGGATTTCTTGTTTCTGGAATTCCCGTAGCCGTGTCGAGACCCAGTCCTTCACAGCGTCCTTCCATTTGGCGACCAAGTTCTACTCAGTTCTACTCAGTCCAGTTCTACTCATTTCAAATGTTTGTCCATTTTTTTATATGTATATATATTTTTCACTGCCAACATTTCTACTGTGACACATCAATCACTACTCACTAGGTCGTCCACCTTGTTGAGGAGGAGATTGGGCGTGATGACTGTTTGCCTGGTCATGGGTCATCAGCCAAAATCGTATGACCTCCACGAGAATGGGCACTCCATTTTTACCAGGATGAACTGGCCAGAAGCGCAGGTTTTTCTGTGTATGATCTCTATCTTGCAGTGAAGGGTGGCGGCTGAGCACCTTCTGCTGCCAGAAATCGAGTAACACCTGGCTATTCTTTGAATTTTGCAATGTCAACACCATCCTATCTTTACAAGCAGTGCCTCGACAATCAGATGGCGCTCTTAATGATAGCCTTTCGCTATCTCTTGGGCATGTGGGTGCCCTTGCAAGCTACGATCCACGGTGGGGTATCCAGTTGCTTCCTTGGATGTCACACTATGTTTTCCCGTTATGGCATGAGCAGCTATTTCATGGTTAATTGTTATGATGTTTCATACCTCTTCATTTGAACACCTCTTGTACAAGAAAACTACAGTTTAGTAAATACAAATTGCAGGAAAACGAGTGGCTGGCCTTTTGACCTTACTGATTAAACAGTCCTTAGTCACCACCCTTAACTTCGAATTGCAGTTTGGAGTATAGCAGTCCAGGCCATTTGTTGCTGATAATCTGATTGTGCCTGGCTTGGTTATCTTCTGCTCAAAGCAATTGTATGCAACAGTTGAAGAAACAATGAAGTCCTTATCACTGCTTGACTAGCCGTCATGGCCCCTGCTCAGGTATTCGTAATGTGGTACCTAAGCTAGTTAGGTCTAATACTCTTGTCACACAGCAAATCCAATGTCATATATAACAAATAACCCTATAGTCAGATACAACTTAAAAGGTCAGGGGAGGCATCGCACAGACCACCGTAGCAAGGCAGCGAATCACGTCCTCAACGGCTAAAGAAATAGTCCCGCTCTTGCTCTCGGCAACGTTCTCTGTAGGCAGAGTGAACTGACATCCGGCTCAGGATGTCAGTCTGGAGTACGTGTCCACTGGTGCCGGCTTGTGTGCATCCGCCTTTGAGGAGAAATGCCGCTGACTTCTAAAGTAACCAACCATAGGTGAACTTGAGGGAAGATGCCATTTGAAAAGTGCAAGTTTTTCAAAAATTACATTTTTTTTTAAATTTTTAAGTGCTCTCACAAGTTCAGTTTCTTCACTTTCATGACAAAAGAAGACTGTAGTAAAACTCGAAGTAGGCTAAAATCATGTTTCAAGGGGCCCTGCAACACTTCTTGAGAATGGTCAGAAAACGCTGCCGATTGGTAGTCAAGGCCCTCTACACCACACTAGCCAAATGTTATAGTGTAGCACATGGCCTGGAAATCGCAGTAAATTCTTAAAGCAAGCTGAAGATTGCTTTCTCCTCTCGACAAATGATGCTACAAGCTCAAAAATCACTTGTCACAGCCATTGTGTCAGCCATTGGCTAAATTGAACATGTTGCGCTCGAACATTACAGGGGCCGCTTTAGGAGGATTTGACTTGACTATGCATGGACGCGCGATCGCACTGAAAAGCCGCTTATTCAATGAAAAGAAAAAAGTGTTCCAAGTCATGAGGCACTTCACGTATTTTCTTTGTTCATGCCATCCCTCCCTGCTTAGCTTCCAATGCTTTCATCAGGACGAGAGAAGAGAGAATGCAGTTGCCGTGTGCAACAAATCTTTGTAACTCCGCTCATACTAGAAAAATTCTTATAATTTTGCTGGTGGTGAATTCGTGAGGCAATGAGTTCTTTCAGTGAATACATTTCATGACAACTACTTGAAAAAATGTTGCAGGGCCCCTTTAAAGAGCACAAGGTGGCTATAAAAACTAAAAAGTGCTCCAAATATTCATAATTCCCAAGCTCTCACAAAGGAATAAATCATTTTAAAAAGTAAATCATTGCAACACAGATGAACTTTCATTTCTACATTGAAGATGTGTTTGTCTTGAATTGCAATTTCAGGCAACTTCTTGATTTTGGATATCATGTCTTAAAGACTTTTGATTGCCAGATCAAGAGGAAGTTTAGCCACGTATTTCGTAACATGTGAATAGTGCAATTTATTTTTTAAGCGTGATATTTATATAATATTATGGGTAAGCAGTACATATTCTTTAACATGTGAAGAGTGCAATTTACTTTTTTTAAACCAGGGTATCGTCTAATTAAATATTACGAATGAGCAATCAGTATGGGCAATCAGTACTTAGTGCATTACAATTTTCCATGTTCATTTAAGTGTATTATACATGATTTCTTGATAATTATTTGCATAGTACAGTTAATATGCAGTAATACAAGCCATTAATGACACACAATCATAAAAGCTTAGTGGTAGAAAATGTCTGTCCAAAAAGAGCTATATTTTACACATTATCAGGGTATAAAACAAAAACTATGCAACTTACTATGAAACTGAATATATATTTGAAATCAACATAAAAACTTGTGTTAACAGCAAAAGTTGAATTGCTTAGGCTACAGATGAAAGATTTTTTTTTTTGAAGCCTAGAGCAAATCGAAAACCAACATGGCTGTCGATAATGTCACGGGCTAAGTAGATGCCTGATGATGACGACGACGAAGTGCTGAACGGGAACGTGCTCGGACTGCAGCAGCGTCGTACGCATTAGCTCGACATTATATTCGCCAGTACACATTTGTTCACCAGTGTATACTTTATTCCCCGTAACATCATTGGTGGAGGTGCGGGGTACCACTTGATATACAACCCAACGAGCTGGATCTTCGCAGCGGACGGCGCATTGCAGCTACCACGATGACTGACCAGGCTACTCAATGTCAACAAGATCCGTCAGCCCCGCAGCCGATCGTTGTGGTGCAACCTCGTGACCCAGGTCCATTCAACGGCACAAGTGGCATAGACGTCGATGACTGGCTGGTTCAATATGAGCGCGTCAGCAGCAGCAACCATTGGGGTCCGACGCTTATGTTGGCGAACATCATCTTCTACTTGCATGGCACGGCAAAACTCTGGTACGAGACACATCAAGAAGAGTTGACTAGCTGGGACGTCTGTAAGCAGAAATTGCGCTATCTATTTGGGAAACCCATCGGACGTCAAGTGGCCGCAAAGAAAGAGCTTGCGACTCGTGCCCAGACATCCACAGAGCCGTACATCGCGTACATCCAGGACGTGTTGGCTTTGTGCCGCAAGGTTGACAAGGACATGCTCGACGAGGACAAAGTTGGACACATCCTGAAGGGAATTGCGGATGACGCCTTCAATTTTCTCCTGTGCAAGGACTGCTCGACGGTGGAGTCGGTCATCGAAGCATGTCGTCGCTTCGAACAGGCAAAAAGTAGGCGCATAGTTCACCGATTTGACCGCCTTCCCAACACGGCGGCTACGTCCTCTTGCGAAGATTTGCCCACACTACACCAACCACCAGCGCCAGAAAACGTCACCAGAATAGTCCGTCGGGAACTCGAGGCTATGGCTCCCGCTATGTCTAGTGTCAGCGCGCCAGGACACAACCTCGGTGCTGTTTCAATGATACAGGCCGTGGTTCGCCAAGAGATCGCGAATATGGGCATTTCGCCACCTCATCAAAATGCCCCTACTACTTCCAGCTCGGCTCCAGTCGTTGCGGCTGCCACTCCGAACCGCACGTTCGCGCCACGACGAAACCCAGCTGAATGGCGCACTCATGATGATCGGCCCATATGTTTCACGTGCCATCGGATAGGACACATCGCTCGCCATTGCCGCAGCCGGTGGACCTCATCACCTCGACCGAGCTTCTATGATTGGCGGCCTCGCTCTGAACGTGCACCTTATGCCCCGTCCTACCGTGCTGAGACAGGTGCAGAGCGTAATCCAGAACGTCGGACCAGCCGCTCGCCATCGCCTGTGCGTCGTCAGTCCCGCTCGCCCCAACCCCGCCGTTCTTGGTCTCCCTACGACCGTCGCTCGGAAAACTAGCCGGTGCAGCCCCCGGAGGTGACGCTGCATACACGACTTGGACTGCAAATCCTCTGATTACTCCCGACCAGCGGTGCAACCTCCTTACAATTCTCGTTGACGGTTTACCTATAACTGCTCTTATTGATACCGGTGCACAAATATCTGTGATGAGCTCAGACCTCCGCCGCTGCCTCCAAAAAGTTCTGACGCCTGCGATTGCACCTACTGTTCGTACAGCGGATGGGAGTACTCCTGCTGTGCTTGGAATGTGCACTGCGCGATTAACAATTTCTGAGCATCAAACTTCAGTTCTGTTCGCTGTACTGGAAAATTGCCCCCATGACCTAATCCTTGGACTCGACTTTCTGACTTCACACGCTGCGCTTATTGACTGTTCCAAAGGTCTTCT